ACATGCACATGAGATTTTTAGAAAAAAAATCTGCCACTGCTCATTAAGCGTTCATACATCGAGACGAGCGAGGCGATACACATGTCATATTATCCAGGGTGGTATGTCTATCCTAGTGGTCTTCAAGCTAGGTGAGATACATCATTCTATTTTATTGCGCGGAACTAAGCAAATAAATTTTTGACCTTCAAATCAAAACATCTATAAAAGAACAAAAAATCAAAAACTTCTATAAAACCTGTCGAACGAACATGTGTTACAGTTCAAACAACCTGCTAACGCTTATATTCTAAATTCATCATACTTTATTGAGTTTTAAAGTTACTTCTTGTAATAAAAGCTATCATAGAATACATGATAGTCGTGATACATAAAAGGTTTTAAAGACTGGACACTATCATATAGCAACAAGTGTTGGATTGTAGACACGAAGTGGCTGAGGTAGGATTTTCCTTTCGTCGATATGCTGTAACTTGTAGAAGATACTACCATTTTCATACAGAAGAGCTCGTAAGTCATTAACAGTCTGACCCCCGGCTTTTTTGCCTTGACGAATGGAATCTTATCAAACGTCGTCCTCATGATTTGTAAAGAAAGTATAATCAAAACGATGAGCGTGGTATGGTTACTTAGGTCTTGCTTCCCTCATGCAACTGATGTAATCACTTGGTGTGTGGATTGGAGGACAAACTTTTTCTCCATCCTTTAGTGGACACTGTCTACTTGCATTATTGTTTGTCTTTTAGTAAAATGATCAGTTCAATCTCCAAGCTTTTCTTAACTTTAGTATAGCTGATGATAGAACTTTATTTCTGTTCTGTTAAGAACACTCATGTGCGATAGTTATATTTTCTTTAGTTTAATTGACTCTTAATGAAATTGATTAAACGGCTTGTACTCGTAAATTCATTAGCCGTAACACCTCCATGTCCTTCGTGCTAAACATACACGTGTACGTCTTTGTAATTACTATGGCGTAGCGTGGATTTTGCCGATTTTAAATATTACTTTAATAACTTTATTAACTTAACACGGGGTACATACAACAATAAATAATAATAACAAGTATTCAAGTATTTCTTTACCTATTTAGTGTACATATGGATTTTAAATTATGCATAGTCCTCATCACTCTGTAACCTTTAGAAGTATTGCAAAAAAGTATAACTAGAGAAGAAATCTTAACTTAATAAAATTAAAAGAAATAACAAGTTATTATTAGTTATTACTTAAGTTATTACTTAAGTACATATTCTTACTACATGCTCTCTGGATTTACTATTCGTACTTCACACTACGCATGAACCTTTCAAAGTCTTACTACGAATTATATTGTGTCGTAGTTCAATTATATTCTGTAATGTCTTCGCATGATGAAAATAAGATTTGTTATTATTTTGTCCGAGATTTTGAGTGAGATTGAGAAGTTCTACGGGCAGATGTCATCTTTAGAGACATACGCAAATGTGAGAAACGATCCGTGCGCAAGTCTTATTCAACACTATACCGTTGATATCGCGGTCCTTAGTCTAAACAAAATAAGAATGGCTCTTCTTCACTTTAAAAACGGCAAGGCCCCAGGTGAAGATAAAATACAACGGAACTTCTGAAAGCGGCTGAAAAACCAGTACTTGAAGTCTTTTAGAATCTCTTTAATTCCATCTTCCATGGTGGCAATACTCTGGAGGCATGGAGCAGAAGTGCAGTGGTCTTGTTCTTCAAGAAAGGCGACAACGCTCTCTTGAAAAACTACGAAATGAAATGAAATGAAATGACTACCAACTGTTTTTCATTCTGAGCCGCGTCTACGTGCTGTTTTTAGAGCAATTACGAATCGTCTCACATGCAGACTCGATGACTTCTAATCTCCCGAACAAGCCGCTTTCCAAAAAGCTTCAGCACCATAGACCACATAGATATACCCTTCGGCAAATTGTATAGAAGACTAAAGAGTACAATATGCAACAGTGTCTTGCATCTCATGCATTGAATTTGCATTGCATCTCATGTGGACTATGAGACAACCTTTGATTTCCTCGAAAACTTAGAGAAAACAAAATTCATGGGAAACGTCCATGTCATACTTTGCCGATAGTTGTTGGGAGCACTAAGTTCGAAGTTGTTGATGAGTATGTTTATCTGGGACAAATAGTCCGACAAGGTAAGTCCAACTTCGACCAAGAGGTCAATCGACGGATTAAACTCGGCTCTTCTCGTCAGGAATACCTGAAAACGAGATTGTACAATCAGTGCGTGTTGCCAGTGATGACTTGTGGATCTGAGACGTGGTCCTTCGCTGCTGGCCATATGAGAACGCTCAAGGTTGCTCAGCGAGCTATAGAGAGGACTATGCTGGGGGTTCCTCTATGTGATAAACTTAGAAACGAGAATATCCGCAGTAGAACCATAGTAACCGACATAGCCCAACGGATTAGTCAGCTGAAGTGACAATGGGCCGGACATATAACTCGAAGAACCGATAACCGATGGGGAAAACAGGTTCTCGAGTTGCAACCTCGTGCCGGTAGGCAAAGTATAGGACGACCCCCCCTCCCCCCTCCCCCCTCCCCTCTACTAGATGGACCTTGCTAGAAATGGTATGCGTAATATTTTAATTTCGATAGTTTTTAATCGATTTATTTTGTAAAAAAAAAATTGTATTTATTTTTTTTGTACCGTAAGTCAATAGAAGACTTGTACGAATATGACTTTAGTATACAATATGTAAATGTTAATATGTACCTACATATAATTACATATAAATTACTATTCTTATAAAAGATTGATACAGTTTATATAAAATAATACTACAAAAATATAGTAATCGCGTTTACTAAGCAGTTTATTGTTATGCGTTTACGCCAATACTGCGGTAATAGTAATTTACTAAATCAAACACAATAAATGTGTTTGTATTGATACAATACGATACTTTTCTGGTCATTAAGAAGATTGTGAATTTCTGTACTGTAAAAGTATTATTTATTATATCTCCTAAATAAAGCTAGAAAAACTCTGAAAAAAATACCAATGTGTATTCCAACCTATATATAGATTACTAACCTGACACAACAGTATAAACTCCATAATAGCACATTACCGGTTTTTTGGCTTGGGGGCATCGATATGTAAATGTACCATAATGTACGTTCGGTACTGCGATTTGTAGAGGGTGCAAACGAGCATATGGCTCACCTGATGATACATGCTTAGTGCCGCCCAAGAACAATTGCAGCACCAGGGGAATTGCAGGTTCGTAGCCGGCCTTTTAGAAAGGAGTAAAAAAAGCTCTTTTCTTGAAGGTCCCTAAGTTGTATCGGACCCGAATTATCGCCGGTAGTAAACCATTCCACAGAGAAGTCGTACGAGGCAGAAAACTTTTAGTAAAACTTACAGTTGTGGACCTCCAAGCATCCATATGGTGTGAATGGTATCGTGAGTTTTTCGTGATGTCCGAGGACTCGAACGACGACGATTCGAGCCGCTCTGCGCTGGTTTCGATCAAATCGAATGAACTGGCACTAGGGAGCCCTTGCTCAGAGATTGGAACAGTATTCCATATGAGGCCGAACCTGCGCCTCGTAAAATTGCAGGCGGTGTGCTGGCGTGAAATACTGTTCTGCTCTGCTGAACATGCCAAGCTTCTTAAGGGTCAATTTGGCCTTCACTTCAAAGTGACCATGAAAATGCACATCGTTCGATATGTCAACGCCGAGGATAAACGCCGAACAAATCGAAAAACAAGGGGATTACTCTACAATGGGAGAAGCCCGGTCCAGTAGCGCACTTTTACGGGTCGGGCTGGCAGGGAAGAATAAGTAAAGATAAACATATTGTAAAGTATTGTATATTTATTTTTTGTAGACATAATATACATAAAAATGTATTGTGACGCATTCAACGTAGTATTTATTAATTTTAACTTGCAACTACAAGTCGATGAATTATAACATTTAAGTGGTTTATAGCTATTGCAGCGAGGCACCTACAAATATAAAGTAATATAGTATTTATCTCGTCGGTCGTCTAAATTATGTTTGTCTGTGATAGATCTGTCGTTATCTATACTTTATTATTATATATATCTTAATTAACTCAACTTAGACTTCTTGAACTGTTTTGTTAGACCAAAAAGACTTTTTCGTTAAAAATCTGTGTGTTTTGAGGTCTATGAAACGAATGTGAAACAGTTACGTAATATTTCCCTTATTTATACAAGTTTTAAAAAGTAAAAGAAAAGCAACAAGATTTTTAAAAGATCAAGAATTTGCAAAATTATTCTTTCACACACTTCTATCTCATAAACATTAATATATTTATAATTCCATGATATTACATTAATTGACTTGAAAATGAAATTGGCACATAGTTCACTTATTAATAGCAACCTTATCTAGTATATAAACTATTATATAAAAAAATAATGTTTGTTCATATTTTATGCGCTGCTATGCTGTTCGTCTGATTACGGTTAAACTTTGTAAACTTATTGCTGGCATTTGCGCAAAGGTTATAGGCATAGTGCAATTAACTTACACTAGGTGACAAATTTATTTGATAATTATATATCATTCAACTTGAATGAATGTATTGCCATTCCTAATTAAACATTATAAGTCTTCCAAATTTTAAACGATATTTCCACAATTATTCTGCGGCAGCAACGCTCCGGGTACCAGCTAGTTAATTGTAAAAAAGACGTCACTTAGGTACTTACGTTCTTACAATAAATTATTCATCGATTACATAAATTTAAAAAGGCACAAAGAAAATTTAATAAAATACAAAATGGAAATATACTGAGAATCGCTTTTCCTGTTATTTTAGACAAGTATATTATTCTTTTTGAAAAAAATTAAAACGACGTATTGGATAAATAAAAAAAATTGAAGTGTGAATGTAACTAAATGATAGCATAAAATTTAATTCTAGACCCTGCCTTTGACACTCCCAAAAAATTCGATTATAAATGGCACGACATGTCGCACAGTGAATAAGTTTCAATGGCATCCGCAAGTCTTAACAACCATATTCTTGTATTTGCGCAGTATCACGTTCGAATCATCCGTATAGTACAAGACCGATATAGTTGCGAGTTTGATTGGTGCACATGACGGCTTCGGTACCTGAAAACAAACACGTTATCAAATTCAGCTTTTTTTATATAGGATAGGGGCAAACGAGCACACGGCTCACCTGATGGTAAGTGATTACTGCAACACCAGCTCAATGAATTATTTAAAATTACTAGGTGGTAAGAAATAGAGCCCCCTTTTCATCCTAGTGTCAGGAACACGTCAAGAGGTTTTTTTTAATAATATAGTGGGAGCGTTGGTGAGCAACATGCTCTTTTGCTTACGAAATTAATCATACACAGAAATAAAACAGCACAATTACCTTTTAACCACACCATATGCCGTTCCTAATCATACAGGGATGGACTGTCATTCACATGGTACAATTAGGAACAATTAAGTAATAAAACCAACAATGCTACTTTATATTATATACGTAGCAAAGCCACGCTACTGCTATGGGTGCAGCACGAATGAGTCAGCTCGACCGGGAGAGAACAACGCTCTCACAGAACACCAGCTTAAAACAGCAACTTCGGTAATTCTGCTGTGTTCCGTGTGGTGAGTGTAGAGAACCGGAGATCCTTTTTACTGGTAACAAGGCATTCCAATATAGTCCTCAGGTGTGACAACACATCTGGATTACGATTCTTAATCGAAGATATCTATGGGCCACAGCATCCACATATCATCAGGCGTACTGTGTGCTTGTTTGTCACCCTTATTCTATAGATACATCTTGTGCGATTAATCTCTACAGGATAAAAATCAATTACGGACGTTAGTCACGACCGATTTTGATGAAATGTTTTATGTGTGTTTGAATGGGTTTCTAGGTGGTTTAAATTCGTTTTTCCACGACACAAATATTTAGTACCGGTAGATGGCGCTGTTGTCGAGATCGCTCGTAGATAATATTAATAAGAACAACGTCTTATGATATATTTCGACATATTAGCTGTTTCTCGTGTTCCCACCGTTTATAAGATCCAACAGTCACTAAAGAAAAAGATTCAGCAAAATGTCCTTTTCGGAGTTTTTTTACTCCACTCTTTATGTTCTTCATCAGATCATAAAAATCCACTGCTGAACATGGGCCTCTCCCGTTCTAGGGAGATTCTGAGATCTCACACTTTTGACGCTGCTTCCCGTAGCCAGTCTGGGCATTTCACGCCTTGAGTAAGCAAGACTAGATACTTATACCTCCATCTATCCGAAGCCACGAGATCTTTCTGGAATACGCCTTAGTCGACTGCTATGATATACACGGAACGAAAGAGGATGATAGATCTCTTAAGCGGCCAGCACACGTCAGTACTCTATAAAAGGTAAATAAGCTTAAGTGACTAACTTTCCCTAAAATCAGTCTAATTAAAAGAAATAAAAAAGTACATTTACTACAATTAACGTGAAAATATCGACAACATTTGTAATAGCTGACTCACCTGAGTGGGATTTAATAAATGTACCAAAGTTTGAACAATGGCGTGGTTAGTAGCATTTTTATGTGCGTTTAGCGGGAAGTTGCATTCACCACTGCAGTAGTAGGCACTGTAGCCATCGGGCGCTATTATCCAGTCCTAAAATTGAACATATGAATACATTTTACAAAATAAAAACGGTGGAAAGCAACAATGTTTCTTTCATCAACATCTTACTCATGAGCTCATAATCAGTCCAGTGGTTTTCGCCTATGGTAAAGAAAATTAATAATTAAAATACCAGACGCCTCGTTTCTGACGACTTCCTTAGTTTTAATGCCTGCACTATGATAGGTTCGATTACACTGTCGACACACGGATTTTTTGAAGTAAAACTTCTTTACGCACGCTTGACTTGGGGAGTAAACTGGCGACAAATGCGTTACGAAAAGTGTAATCGGGCGAGACGAACGGGAGTTGAGTGGGGTATATAAGCAAGTGAGAGCAGTGCGCGCGCACATTTTCTTTCTCTCTTTCTCTCATAGCCAGTTATTTTACGTAATTTTATTTCGTTTTGAACAATTTAATGAATTAATATTTTGTTCATAATATTAAATATTCTACGATTAAAGTGAATAAAATTGGAAAATCATTTTAATGCTCACGTTTTGTAAATTTTCACAAAACATGTACATATATGGTGAATAATAAAAAAATAGGTAGGTAGGGTGAATAATAAAAAAATATGGAAGGAATTCGATAATAAATTTAAATATTTGTATAAAATTAATATATGTATACATGATCGCGGAGAAGTTTTTTGGCCAAAAACCAGAAAGGTTTTTGTGCGTTCATGGACAGAAAGGGCTTATGACAGAGTGGACAGGACTGTGTTATAGCAAACACTGAACTCATTTGGGTTGAGCCCTGGTTATCTACAGGAATTGAGGTCTCCTTATAGGGATTCTTGTTCTTGTTTCAAGATCAACGGGGTACACTCAGACTAGTTTGGCATTCAAAAAGATGTCAGACAGGGCTGTGTAGCTTCCCTGTGTCAGTTCAACCTATTTATGGACAGTTGTTTGGAATCTTTGAAAGGTGAAGAATGTGGGATAAGAATGGGAAAGTTAACCGTCAAATGCCTTTTGTACGCCGATGATCAAGTCATTATGCGTCGTCGGCGACCGAGTTGCAAATGATAGTTACATTAATGACCTGATCACTGAAATAAAATGGAATGAAAGTGAACGCATGTAAGACGAAAGAGATGGTTTTTGAAGGAGAAGAAAGTAAAACGTTATGTGAAATAAGAATAGAAGGGGAGTTTATTGAGATAGTGGATGAGTCCGTGTATTGGGGATTTGTATTTAGCAGGGACAGTAGATGTGGTAAGGATATAGAACGACGAGTGAATGCAGGAAATAGAGTGAATGTGGCTCTACACTCTATTATGAAGAGTCAGGTTGTGTCAAAAAAGAAACGTATGGTAATTCGTAATGATGTGTTTATCCCTACTTTAATATATGGTAGTTAAAGTTGGGTGTTGCAGAAGAAGCACGAAGGTAGAAGCTGAAAAATAGACAGTAAAATATAGCTTACTGTAATGTAGGGTAATATAGTTTATCATGTATACATATATTAATTAGTAAGCTTACCCTACATTACACTTACATAACTCCTGACATTGCTCTCTATCTGTTTCTGGAGTTTCATTGCAATCTGCCCACCCATTTATACGTGATAAAGCAACGCTGCAACTATATTATAGTTGTAGCACGAATGGGTCGGCTCGACCGAGGCAGGACTTTGCTCTCAGAAAATACCAGCGTAAAATAGCAGCGTAATGCTGCTGTGTTTCGTGACCTTTTTTTTACTGGAATCGAGACATTCTATCTTAGTCCTCAGGGGTGACAACCAATTTGCATTTTGATTCTTAATTGAGGATAAATGCGGATGACTATGGATCACAGCACCCTCTTATCATCAGGTGGTGAATTTTTTTTTGAAAATTAGCTCGCACAGACAGACACACAGACACACAAAAATTTTAAAAATAGTAATTTAATTAGATTAAAATATTCGTTTATCTTACTTGCATTTTAATACTAAAAATTAGAGCAGCCATACATAAAGCACTTACTTGCCATTCTAAATCCTTAAAGCTAACGTACAATGTTTGAATTTCACAGCTTCTCGTGGTCCAATGCGAAGTGTCTGAAATAATTGTGATAAAATTATATCATTTATTTACAAGAAAAAATTTTGAAAGAAGGAACTTCAAACTGTTATATAATTTTTAATTGAAGTGAAAAAAATACAAGGACTTAATTGTTTGACGTTCATACTAATTTTAAGCATTATATTTATAACACATTAATTACCAGTTAAAGGATTTCTTAAATAATTGTCGGAATATCCATGCGTACGCCACCGTCGTGCTTCACGCTTACGCCGAGCACCAGCATCCCATCCACCAAGCTTTGGTCCGTTCTTGAAAAATGCCACCAGGAATGGTTGCTTGCCATCCGCACCAGGTCCTCGAGGTTCCTCTAGACCTATTTCTTCTGGTTTAACGTGACGTTCTATAAAATAGTAAGTAACATAAAATTATATTAGATTATACTGTTTCCAACTACCAGTCTGCTAAGCTATTTTAGGATAATTAAGAAAGAAATGTAGGCCATATTTTTTATTATTCTCTAGGATCTTGAATACGATGAAACTTCGACGACAGCAGCTTAATAATTGGTCAAAAGACGTACACGTCGACTCGGTAATTGCTAGAATGTTTGTGAGTTACTAAGTTGTTAGGGCTAGAAAATTTTACTAAATATATATATATATATATATATATATATATATATATATATATATATATATATATATATAAGTCATGCAGGAAGTCGATAAATGCAGTTGGCTCAGGACCGTGCTTTGTGGCATTACTTGAGGGAGGCCTATGTTCAGCAGTGCACTTGTAAGACTTACTTATTAAGGACTGTAATGATGATGATGAAGGCATATAGAGCTTGTATTTTGTTGTATTTTGTTAACCTGCAGTTCGATTGAAAATTGCAAGAATATTCTAGTGCACATTAAAGTATTATAACTGTTAAAAACGAGAACATTCCCTTAATAGAGTCTTTTCGTTCATACTCTTGATCGCTGTAATAATTCTCGTACTTTCATGGGTATTAAAACTGCGTATGGATGGTACTTGTTGGGTCATATTGTCTGCGACGTCGTCGTATACGACGGCGTATTAGTAGTGGATTCTAACAATTAGTCTCCCATAACATTTTTATATGAACAAAACATATACAAACCGATGACTATAGTATGTGCCAAATCGATTGAGAAAAACGGACCTTTCGGTCGTTTAACCAGAGGTTACAAACCTTCAATATATAGGCACATTTTATATGTAGTACTTTCTTTATTTATAATGATTTTTTATGATTTTTTATAATGATTGATAATATATATTTATTAATTATTATTAAAAAGTTTTGTAAAAGATCGCTGTAGAAGAAAAATCATCTATTTTTATAAAGTACTTTATTCATTTAACAACAAAAAGACTTAATTTATAACACATATAAAGATTCGAGTGATAACGACACCGAATAAGTACGTACTTATTCAAAAGAAAAAACTTTATTTTCAATGTTATATAAGAACTTTATTTTTATTCGGTGCAATCATCACTCGTATATTCACTTGATTTGTATTTAGATGAACTGTCTGTAACATTAATTATAAAGCGATCTGCAGTTTGGTCAATTCTATCATCAATGCCACGCATTTTTTGTTCAACCTTAAGGACATGCTGAACACAGTTTTTCCATTTATCTGGCGTGATTTGAGTTAAACCATCTTTAAGTAAATTTTTAACATCTGTTAACTTGAAAGCTGTATTTTTTCGTGCAACGTACCCTGCCCAAAAAAGGTGACGCATCTCTGGCTACCATTGTCACGTTTCTTTTAGAACGAACTGACGTAACGCGCGTTTTGTTTACTTTAAAGGGATGAATTTGCAAAAGCTCAATATGGTGATTATATTGCTTCAAATATTTTTTTTTAATATGAAACTGTTATTAAATGAATTGCTGCGTTACTTACCATAAATTGAAATATAAAATATAACACATTTATCGCGATGAACCGTAAGATTTTACGATGTTTATAGGAACCACAGACAATATTATTTAAGAAACAAAAAAAAAACATATGTGCTGACCTAGAAGTGTGAGTAATATCAATATTTAAAATCCTTAGGAAGAGCTGAGATGGTGATGGAAGATGAGAAGTGGCTCACGAGTAGCGCAGCGTCTTTAAGAATGGAAAGTAATCATTGACATACTATGGCAAACTACTAAGCTTCTGGAGGCGAGGGCGAGGGTTACACGTGTCATAAGTGAAAACTTATAGGCTGAAGAAGAGAAGAATAATAAACGTTTGCTCGTTGAAATATAATGCACTTACATACATAGTACATAATTATATCAATACATTCTCTTTCGATAGATGGCGATATTTCGCTTTTGCTAAACGTAATATCCAAACCGACGTCAATCTGCCTTCCAAGCTTAAGCTATTAAGGCAAATACTCTCCGTACATAGTAGAGGCCCATGTTTTACAGTGAACAGGCTTAGTATATTGGCGTAGTTAAACACATACGATAAAAGTCTACTTTACTTATAATGTATGATAAAGTATTTGCTTTACCTGGCTGTGTATGTGGATGAAGCGTAATAAAGAAACCACGGTTCTCAGTGGGTTCAGTAAGCCAAGCCGATAACGCTGACGTCACGTTAAACTCTAGCCAACCTTCAGCGCCAGCGCTCGTGTTCACTGCAGCTACGCGCTCCATTTTCAGACCTCTGTATGAAATAAAATATTATTTTATAATCACTATTAATAATTATTTTATATCTATATCGATGTTTATACTTAAGTCTCAGAATTCTAATTAAATTAGGCGTATACTAGACAGGATAATTATGTTTAGTTAAAAATGGGACGCGACATTTTATTACTTTTTTATAATGGGTATAAAACAGCACGAAGAACCAACACTCGATGGAGAAGAAACATTCTCACGAAGCAGCTCGGTACCGGCAAGAAAAAAAGACAGTGGATGCAGGTGGCTCAGTCCTGTGTATTGCCCATTCCTCAGGAGAGGCCTTTGTTCAGCTGTGGACTTGTGAAAGTTTGTAATGATGATGTTGATATTTAGCTTAAAAATTCTTAAATTTCCAACTAATCTTAATCCTTGTTGCACTACTAAAGTTGTTTGTCGCAATTTTAAGCAATAATTTACCAAATATTCGGCGGTGAAAGAAAACGTCGCAAGAAAACCCGCATGCCAGAGAAGTTGTATTGAGCCTCAAGCTACGAAAGCTACTTATTTATAATATTTATAACACACTGTTCAAAAAGTATCGCGAATTTTGTATTTTTTCAAAAAGTATTTTTTCATTCATGAATATCTATTTTGTCTCCAATAAAGTAATCCCCCTCGGATATAATGCACTTGTGCCAACGTTTTTTTCAATCCTCGAAGCACTTAAAAATCATTTTTCGTGATCTTCTTCAGCTCCTCCTTCGATGCCGTCTTTATCTCCTCAATCGTGGCGTAGCGTCGTCCTTTCATGGGCCTTTTCAATTTTGGGAACAGGAAAAAGTCACAGGGGACCAGTCCTGGGGAATACGGTGGCTGTGGGACCATTACTGTGTTGTTTTTGGATAAATATTCGCGCACAAACAACGATGTGTGAGCAGGGACGTTATCGTGGTGCAAAAGCCAGTTTTTGTTCTTCCACAAATCCAGGTGTTTCTGACAGATTATTCCGCGCAAATTTCCGCGCGCATAAATTGCAGGTAATATTCCTTATTGACCGTACTACCCTGTGGCAATAACTCATGATGCACCACGCCCCTGCAATCGGAGAAAACGGTGCGCAACCTTCACGTTCGACCAAACTTGGCGCGCTTTTTTCGGTCTTGGCTCATGCGACAGCTTCCATTGGGATGATTAAGCTTTGATTTCCACGTCATAACCATAAACCCATGATGCGTCACCAGTTATGACCCTTTGGAGCACATTTGGGTCGTCACGGACCGAGTCGAACATCTCCTGAGCAATGTTAACGCGATGCTGTTTTTGGTTGAAATTGAACAATTTTGGCACGAATTTCACGGCGACCCGACTCATGCCCAAATCATTACTTAATAATCGAATGGCACGAACCAATCGATATGTTTAGGTCCTCAGCAACTTCTCTAACCGTGATTCGACGATTGACCAATAATATTTTCTTTACTTCATCAATGTTATCGTCTGTTGTTGACGTGCTCGGGCGTCCGGCACGTTGTTCGTCGTTCACATCTTCTCGGCCCTCTGAGAATATTTTGTACCACCGATAAACGTTGGTTTGGTCCAAGGTAGCTTCACCATATGCCACAGTCAACATTCGGAATGCGTCCGCGCACTTTATTTTGTTTTTTACACAAAATTTAATACAAATTCTTTAATCCATTTTTTGGAATAGGCAAAAATCGAAGACGAGCTAAAACAAATCCAAGCAAAACAGCTGTCAAAAATTAACTAAACATTCAAAATGGCCGACCTTGTCAGCATAAGAGTAAGAGACATAAGTACCAATATAGTCCGCTGAAATTCAAAATTCGCGATAGTTTTTGAACTGACCTCGTATAATAATTATTATATAAAATATATAATATTATAATAATTAAACTATAATTATTATATTTTTTATTATGATCACTATAATTTACCCAACATTGTCAACACTGAGGACACGGTGGGCAACAACTGTATATAAACTTGTTGGGTCTTCTGTGTGCGCAGCAGCCTGATGTAGTCTAAGCTCAGCCGTCAGCAGAGACGAAGCGTCACTAGGAGCACCTGCTACCTCAAACCACACATGCCTGCCGTGCCCGTGACGTAAAGCTCCCAAGTGATGTTCTGCAATAATACATTAAATTAAATTAGTATGAAGTACTACTGTTTACTTGTAGTAGTTTAAAGCAGTTGGCCGTGCGTTGACAGCATAAAAAACTCCATCGCCGTCGTAAGATACGATTGGAAATACCTAGAACCTGTGCACTCTGAAGAAACTGCATTATAGTAGCAGGATACTAGACTATTACTCTCCTGGCAAGTTGCTGGTTCTTTTAACTATATGTCCAGCCCAATGGTACTGTAGCTTACCCATCTGTTTACAGAACTATATCATATTAAGATGTCATCTGTGTTAGAATGCTTTGAAAACATATTTTTAATAGTATAGGGTGACAAACAAACAGAAAGTCCACCTGATGGTAAGTGGTTGCTGTGGCTCATAGAGATCTACATCTATCCTCGATTACGAATCAAAATGCAGATGCGTTGTCACCCATAAGGACTAAGATAGAATGCCTCGTTTCCAGTAAAAAGGGTCTCCGGTTCTCTACACTCACCATACGAAATACAGCAGCATTAAGCTACTATTTCACGGTGGTATTCTGTGAGAGCGTAGTCCTTCCCCGGTCGAGCCGACCCATTCGTGCTACAACTATTCTTCTAATATAACTGCAGCATGGCTCTACCACGTACAAAACTATTTTCATCCATTTATCCATTTCAGCCCTTTACAAGTCCACTGTTGAATATAGGCCTCTCCCAAGGAATGCCACAAAGCACGGTCCTGAGCCACCTGTATCTATTGACTTCCTGCATGTCTTACCAGGTTGTCACACGGAAAATATATATTTTATTTTTATTGAAATTAGGTGATCGCCGTGAGAGCTTATCTATACTAATGTAATAGATTTGAAAATTTTATTTTTCTTACAATAATAATAATAATAAGAATAGAAGGCTATCTAGCTTTAGGATAAACCTCTCAGTTAGCCTTTAATATTTATTTTTGTAAGCAAGTCAGAAGACAAAGCGCTCTCGAAAAGATTTATCCTCGTGCGCTGGCGTAAAATATAGATCTTTACTCTGACTAAAAAATTCTGTGATACCATATGCCTATTTCTTATACATGAGTCACTATAAGGTATTTTGTGACAAAAAATTATTGAAAATAAAAAGTGATTTATGAGCGTCATTTTTAGGCAAGGCATAAGAATCCTTACCGACGAAAGTTATTTTTTCATCATCAAGACCATTTTATGAACATGAACTTTGCTCTTTATAGCATGTTATTTGAACACATAGTTTAAGAAATAGTGAAAATATAATTAGTTCAACATTTGACTCGATGCGCGAACGACGCATAACGATAACGACGCATAATGTTCTCGATGAGAACCGAGAGAAACCAGCAGTGCACACTTCTATGAGCGAGATAAGTTCAATCAATTTATTAAAAAATTGGCAAATAAACGGAGTACTTTTATTATGTACGTTATAAAGCAAAGTTAAATTATATCCACTCTGGGTGAACGTCACTCATCCGCGTCCCGGAAAATGTTCCGAGACGCAGTTTTATTCAGTTTTCAATTTTAATAAAACCGTACATGAAAAGTGTACAGGTACGAAATAATTCTTGATAAATTTAATATCTTGTACATTGCTTTTCAGTTTCACCGCAAACATGCCACGAAATATGAAATTTTTTTTATGATTTATCTTAAATTATTAAATTAAACAGAAAAATCCCGATCTTGGCAGTGTACTTTGATTTTAACAAAGCATTTGATAGTGTTAGTCATGATATTGTAAAAATAGAAACCTATGTTATAAGAGGGCCAGCTTACTCTTAGACACAAAACATATGCATGGATTTAAAACATAGAAACAATGTGTTGAAATCAGACAGTCTCCGCTGGTGCCGTCCAGGGTTAAGGGGAAGGGAGTTGGGAGCGGCAAAGCAAAAGGTAAGGCCCCTCGCCCCGTTAGCTCGGGACACTGAGGTTACAGGTTAAATTAAATATTTAATGATAAAAAAATTCTGATACTGAAGGTACTACATTTTTAGGTAAGTATTAGTTTAGACAAACATGTTAATTAGAAAGATCTCATAGATAAAGTTAAAGATATATAAATAAATAAAATATATAAATTTAACTATGCTCAGAAGGGACCATGATAACGGCGGGGCTGGGGGTGCTAAGAATCTCCGGTGGAGGTTTGGTTGCCACCTACGACGACTCGATCTGGCAACATATAATAGAACTGACGAGAAGATCCTGGAGCTGGAAGAAGAGATAGACAGTTGGGCGGGAATATTATAGGATTATCCAAGGTCCGAAGAGAGGGGGCGGACACGGTGATTTTCGAATCCGGCAACTTGTTCTATCAACGGAAGGGCGACCATCTGTCCCAAGGATGTGTTGGATTTATCGTCCACAAGTCTCCCGTTAACAACGTTGTAGATTGGTAGTGTGTCGACGAGGGTTGCGTACCTTATACTCAGAATCACCAAACGGTAATCGCTGAAGGTCGTACAGGTTTACGCACCAACGGTGGCACATCCCGATGAGGAGGTGGAGGAAATGTGTGAAGATATTTCCAGAGCCATGCATTCATTCGAAACGCACTATACGGTGTTAATGGGAAACTTCAACGAAAACTAGGCACAAGAAAGATCGGTGAGCTGAAGGTAGAGAAATTTGGGATAAGGCAACGGAACCCAAGGGGCCAGCAGCTGGCCGACTTCATGGAGAAAGGTGAACTCTTTCTTCCAGAAGCGGTCCCACAGAAAGTGGACCTACCTGGTCGAAACCCGATGGTTCGACAAAAAATGAGATTGACTTCAATAAGACGACGAGACAGCAACTGTTCAGTGATGTCTCAGTGATCGCAAGGGTGAAAACTGGCAGCGATCACCGAATGGTTAGAGACACACTGAACCCAAACGTTAAGTTGGAGAGGTCTCGTCTAATGAAGTCAACGCTCCGTCCTCCTTGTGCTCTAATCCAAAATCCCGAAACCTTTCAGCTGGAGTTACAAAACCGTTTTCAGTGCCTTGAAGATTACAATACAGTAGACGATATAAATGACAAGCTCGTGGAAACGGCCCATGCGGCCGGAGCAAGTTCTGCAAGACCCGCCGCAGAAAAACACAAAAACTCTCCGATCACACTCTTAATCCTATGGCTGTTAGACGGGAGATGAAGCTGCAGTCGTCAGCAGATTTGACAGCATACAGGCAACTAAAAAGACTGATCTCCAAATGCATGCGGCGTGACTTACGCAACTTTAATACTGCTCGTATTGAAGAAGCGATCAAGCGGAACGAGGGCTCCAAAGTCTTTGCCAGAGATCTTTCTGCCAGAAAGAACTATCAAAGCTGAAGACTGAGAGTGGTAGCATCGTTTCCGGGACACCTGAGATTTACACATCATCGTTGGAGCCCGACGCACGTGTGAGTAACGATCTAAGAGAAAGTCGTATCCGACACTAATCCGATTATATCCCGGACGTCTGTTTGAGCGAGATTAGAATGGTCCTCCAGCACCTTAAAAACGGCAAGGCCCCAGGCGAGGGTGGAATTACAGCGGAGCTTCTGAAAGCGGGTGGATAGGTACTTAAAGTCCTCCAGAAGCTCTTCATTTCCGTCCATGGTGGCACTACTCCAGAGGCGTGGAGGAGAAGTGTGCGACACCGCTCTCTTGAAGAATATATATAATATAGACCGATTTACCTTCTGAACTACGTCTACGTGCTGTTTTCGAGAATCATTACGAATCGTCTCTCACGCAGACTCAACGACTTCCAGCCTCCCGAACAAGCCGGTTTCCGAAAAGGCTTCAGTACCATTCACCACATACATACCCTGCGGCAGATTGTACAGAAGACCGAATAGTAAACTCTGCCACTTTGCCTGGAGAACTACTACGAGAAAGCCTTTGATTCCGTCAAAATATGGGCGATGCTACAGTCCAACCAGCGGTGCCACGTTGACTGTCGGTATATCGAAGTGCTGAAGTGTTTGTACAGTAGGGCTACGATGGCTATCCGAATACAGAACCAGAGTTCGAAACCTACCCCACCGCATAGAGGTGTGAGACTGAGACAGAGTGACGTCATATCCCCGAAACTCTTCACCGCTGCATTGGAAGACATTTTCAAGCTACTGGACTGGAAAGGATAGGGTATTAACATCAATGGCGTGTACATCACTCACCTTCGATTTGCGGACGATATGGACTATCATATAACAAAATCGCTGGAGGACCTAAGCACTATGCTCAATGACTTCAATAGTGCCTCCCAACGGATAGGTCTTAAGATGAACATGGCCAAAACAAAGATCATGTTTAATGTCCATTTCACACCTACTGTAGTTGTTGGGAGTACTAAGCTCGAAGTTGTTGACAAGTACGTTGATCTGGGACAAATAGTCCGACTAGGTAAGTCCAACTTCGACCGCAAGGTCAATCGACGGATTCAACCTCGGAAGGGCTGTAATGAATGAATGAATGAATGAAAAAATTTTGCTCAGGCAAGGCTAGCTTCAATTCGTCAAGAAACACTATTCTTATGTTGCTGCTGTATGATCTCATATTACGGGTAAACTCGACAGACGTAAAGCGTGTTTTTATAGCGCTAAAAGGTTATATACGAGCAATTTGTGGCGTCGGGACACTCGTTTTTCTGCAAACCATTATTTAAAGAATTAGATGTTCTTACGCTACCCATCCATGTACATTTTTAAACTTTAAATTTTCGTAAAAAAAAAAGTATCCTCATTTTTAACTAAACCAAAAGATACCGTAAAATATAGTACCAGATACCCAGAAAAAATACTTTGCCTTCGTTGAAAACTAGCCAGTACTCGAAAAATTGATATGTGATGGCTATTCAAGTGAAATAAGGCAATTAGATTATAACCGATTTACCGAATTTACCGAAAAAACATTTTATTACGAAACATCTAAGAATCTAAAAAAACCAAACCTCTTTATATTGGAAAACCGAATTCAAAACCCGCCTAGTGTTATCCAATGTTAAATTTCATGGACGCCCGTTAA